ATCTCGATGTCATATTCATCTTCACTAACCTTGTTGTTGCACTGCTTTTTGACTTCTTTTTTGACAGACCAGACCAGAGCACCTTAGTTACCTCTTTGCTCCAACCTTGATGACGTTTGGACGTTTGCCAAGCAGACACATTATATTAATGCTACAATTTGAATCACTACAAATTGTGGAAGAGAATTAGAAGCAGCAAGTGAAGTCCTTATTTTGTACACTGCATTCAGAGTGTCCATTAACGCCATTACTTTAATTTGCTGAATGCAAATTTAGCCGAAGCAAATTATTGTAAAATTCAACTAAGCGAGGCATTGCGAATCCTAATGCTCTTCTTGTCTTGTAGCCTCACAGAAAGCATGCATTCTGATTTCTTCAATATGTGACAAGCTGTTTTACCAAGCAGATGAGCTTTGCTAATGAGCTAATGCGATCTGGTTTGAGAAATGTATAATGAGACCTGGCTGCATGCGATTCAAGGCAAAATAAACTAGGCCATTGTGAAAGAGGCATTTCACTGCTTAATGGGGCTCTTCTGGAACATTCCTCCTGCCCTAAAGTTCTTATTAGCTTAAAGTTGTGACGGACCTCTTCAGTGATAAAGATCTGATTTTTTAATTATTCTATAACTAAATCTAGCAGAATTAACAAGATTACTCACAGTGCGGCCGAGATCTGACGCCAATAACATCAGTCTCGGATCATATTTTCAGACTCATTAAAATGAAACCCTCTTTTCCCAAACCAAAGCGGTTAGTTTTATAAAGCTTTTCAAACCAGTGGAACGCGTCTTCCCCAGAGAATGATTTTAGAAGATAGCGAACAAACTTGTCAGTGCGATTTGGACCTCGGTTTCTGATATGAACATTATTTGCCCTCACTTGCTTCAGATGTGATGTCATCTGGAGAGGCAGAAGAGACCCTAACATGATTTTTCACTGCATATTCCAGTGGTCACGGCAGCAGTGATGCATCAAATGATGGAGTAGAGAGTTATAAATGGGCATTTATCCAGACATAAGATGTGACTGAGCACAATTGCACATTATAGTTGACAGCATCTAAAATAAAAGCATTTTAATGTTTTTGAAAGAAGTCTCGTATGCTCATCAAGGCTGCATGTATTTGATTAAAAAACTGTAAAATTGTGAAATATTACAATTTAAAATAACTGTTAAAATATAATTTTTTCTATGATGCAATAAAGCTGAATTTTCAGCATCATTGCTCCAGTCTTCGATGTTACATGATGCTTCAGAAATCATTCTAATATGCTGATTTGTTATCAATGTTGGAAACCATTGTGCTGCTTAAAATGTTTTTGGAACCTGTGATACTGTTTTCAGGATTCTTTGATGAATAAAAAAAGTTAAAAAGAACAGCATTTATTCAAAATAAAAATCTTTCTTAACATAAGTCTTTACTATAACTTTTTATCAATTTAACACATCCTTGCTGAAAAATATTAATTTCTTTAAAAAAAAATACTGACCCCAAACTTTTGAATGGTAGTGTATAATGTTACAAAAAAATTTGATGGATGGACAGACAGACGATGGATTATTGATTCTTCATTCTGTGCTTTAATCAGCAATTGTGCATGCTATTATGTTGTACATTTTAAAATGCAGATGTAAGCGATTGATCTTAATATGTGTAATCGATTTGTAAATGAATGACGTGTTTTTACTGAATGTTTTGATATCCTGGTAATTTTTATGTATCGATTCATGAATCGAGCAGAAAATAAATCAATATTATTTTAGATTTGGACAGTTTAGCTCTGCTCTTGCGCACAGTGGACTCTATGCACGGTCACTTCCGCATTTTTTCTCAGGGGGCTTACTTAAATCCGGTGCTGTGCCGAAAGCCGGGGCTTACTTACATCCGGTGCTGCGCCGGAAGCCATTGTTCCTTACGTAGAGCTTTCAAAATGACAAGCGGAGAAGATGATTTTTCAGCTTACAAGAACTTCCCCGGATTACTGTAAACGCACGGAGAAGGGCATTAAACGTTTCAAGTTACATCGACAACTTTAGGGTGAGTATTGTTCTATCGTCTTCTAGCAAATCTTGCTAATAAGGCTGGATGACGCTGCATGACTTCTGCGCCGATTTGAGCAGCGCTTAAATAGCAGGGCTAAGTTAGAGTTTAGCTTTAAACTCTGTCCACCTCAGGTTTTTATAACTCCTAAGAGATAGTAGCAATAACATCTGGCGATGAAGCTGTTCAGTAAAAAAGCAATTAAGAATAGAAGCAAACAAGATCAGGAATGGTTAAGAGTAGGGACATCCTTTGAAATATGACTTAACTCTTTACAGTGTACTGGCATGTTTGTAACATTATATAGACTTAATTCTTCATAATTTATTTTAAATATAGTTTAATTTACAATGTAACAATTTAAAATGCAACTGAAAGTAATTCAAAATGTATCTGAAATCAATTCAATATGTAACCCAATGCAATTATCTTCACAGATTGTTTTAAAGGACTCCCATCCATACTGTTGCAGCACTGTACCAGACAGCACACTATTCAGAACTGAGAATCAGTACAAGAGAGGAAATTTGCTGAGTGGTTAAGGTAGGAGTAGACTGGTTAATTCAGTGATCCTCAAATCTGGCTCGCGGGATCCACTTTCCTGCAGAGTTTAGCTCCAACCCTAATCAAACAACTATACCAGTGATTTTTGAATGATCCGGAAGACACTGATTAGCAAACTCAGGTGTTTGATTAGGGTTAGAGCTAAACTCTGCAGGAAAGTGGATCTCGCGAGCCAGATTTGAGGATCACTGGTCTAATTACATATTTTTATATCTTGCTATATTCATAATGTATAACATGCCTATATGATTAGCCCTAGCAGAAAAAAGACATAAACACAATCATATTGGATATGGCTCCATTCATAATGTATGCAACATGTGGTGGAAGAGTTTTATTTTTTTAATGGTCAATTTACACTATACCTTTGTTTTTCATCTCAGGAGAATGTTTACAGTGGCGTCACCAGTGATCTGCTTGACCTATCAGTCCTCCAAGTGGCAGAAGTGTTAAAAAACCATACCATTACACTATCACAGTTATTTGTATTTGTATTTTACATAACTATTACACCATATCAAAGTTTCTAAAATGTACGTTTTTATATTTACATGTTTAGATTTACATTTACATTTTATATTCTAGTCTGTACAAATAAAACCGAATTAATCCACCCCAAGTGTTTTGTGTAAGGCCAGATCTCTCTGTGGAAGACTGACTGAAAGGTGGACTGAAGAGGAGGAACTCATCGAAGGGCTGCAGAGACTGACACTGTCAAAATACATTTTAAATAATTATGATACATGCATGTAACGTGCACATCAAAAAATAAAAATAACATTTTCATGGTCACAAATAATATAATATCAATATTTACCATTGCATTGCTTGTTATTCCTACTATAACTTCTCTCCTCGTTGTAGCTGTTCTCGCTCTGGTCACACAAACCATGTTGAATGCAGGTTCAATAACTCTCCAAAAGGCCATTAAATGGTTCTACATCTCAAATCTAGATTGAATGAGACATGTTTTCAGAAAATGCACACCACACAATGTAATAACAATGCAAGTTTGGCTACACTGAACCTGATGGTTACTTTAAAAATGTATAATGTATTGACATGCAAGTACTCTTATGAAAACAATTATATTAACTGGGGTTTTAGCTTATTCCCCCTCGTGTCATTCTAAACCATTATGAATTTCTTCTGTGGGGGAAAAATATCTAAATAGCTGACTGACACTAACATTATTTACAACATTTCTGTATGCCAATGAAGAAATCAAGCCATATGGGTTTACAACTACATAAAGGTGAGTATATGATGACAGCTTTATTTAAATTTTTGGGTGAATCTATTAACTCGTTAACGCATATTGCCCAGACCCACAGAAGCGTTTTTTAAAAAACGCAACCACAGCGACAAAAAAAAAAAAAAAAAATGCAAACGGCCC